TTTTCTCAAGAAATACATGCTAATTTATTACAGGGATAAGAGAGTTTCCCATAGGGATAAATAACAGAAAAAGCCTGAATATTTCATTCACTTGTGATGTCCTCTTGCAGGCAGGGCAGCAAGATCTACACTTTCATTCCTCGGTGACAGAGTAGAATTGAAAACAAAATCTATACTGATTCCTGATTGCTTCTGAACATAGGGGCGTGTGGGTTTCCAGCCAGTATCATGAAAAAGGAGCAACTTCTTAGTGTTGTGAGAAGGTGGGAGCAGGGCCTCTCCACCCTTAGCCCACGATTTTGCCAAGATGATGTTTACTGGCACCTCCTTTGAGCTTCTGGCTGTCACTTGCATTGTCACTGTGTCTAAAAACAGCAGCCTGGAGCCCACAAGAATGTCATGATCACCCCAGAACACACTGGTCAGGATCAGTGTGTGAGTACTCTTGTTATCTGTCATTTTGTCTGACCTCTCACAAGGATGCATTCCCAAGAACTTCACAATATTGCCCACAGCCTCTTCAAGTGTCCTGAAGGAAGACAGGGTGAATTTTTCCTCCTTCTCAAACTCATTCCTGATCTCATCCCAGGCTGCTTCAAAGTTCACTTTCATGGCTTTTTGAATGTGGTCAGCCACAGTAACTTCTAGATCCTCCAGCACATGTTCCTCCTTGTAGTCTTCTTCATCAGTGTCTCCCGTGGTGCGATCGCAGTCCTTGCTGGTGAGCTGCATCATACAGCTGAACGTGCCTACTACAGCCGTGGGGTCTTCGTTGGGTAGAACCATCAGTGTGTATCAGGTCCCAGTCTGGTTGTAGGGAAGGCTCCAGGCAGGCACATAGCACAGTACCTCATAGGCGTCTGTGGACTCCATCTGCACCATGACATTCTCCAGGGTCTGGTTGTTGAGGGTGTTTGCGCACTCAAACTGAAACGTCATGTGGTCAGTGAAGGTATGTTTGGTGCAAAGGATGATGTAATCTGTCTCTGATTCCGTGAGGGCCACTGGCTCAGGTGAAGACTTGCAAGAGGGGTTCTAGCCCCTGGAACTCTGGCACAGCTGCTAAACACTCCTAGAAAATCTCCTGCTGGGGGTGGCTGCCATTTCCTCAAGCTGTTTCACTGTTGTGGTCGGCAGTGCTGTCTGTTCTCTGCTCTGTCATAGGGGTGGTAGCCAGAGGCACAGACTCTAGGTCAAATGGCTTTTCTGATGGTTCTAGTGTGTACTGCTGCAGGGCCCTCTTCAGACCAGGGATGGACACAGTCAGACCATTTAGGAGATAACCTGTATTGAGGGCCTTCTCTTTCTGCTCTAGGACATTCAGATAGAAGATGGATCGGTCCCTCACTTTGTTGTCATCATCCACCACACATATCTTCAGCAACAACAAGATACTAGATAACATCTCTTAGCTCTGGGCTCCAAACATGGCTAGAGCACTAGCTGCACTTACCAGAACCTTTTCATGCTCCAGGACCATACAGTTGTAGATGAAGCAGATGTACTTGAAAGGGTAGCCAGGACCTTGAACTCACAGTCTTGGATGAATTCATACAGATCTGACAGACCTGACTCCTTGCTTTCCGAGTTCTCCTCAGTGATGCTGATGATACAGTCCAAAACGGTGCTCTTATACTCAAAACCACCCTCTTCCCTTAGCATGGTGAGCAGGAAGTTCATGAGCACCGCATGTTTTTTGAGGATACTTCTGGCAAAGAGCACTGATAGCCTGGACAAGCACCACCTTGAATTCGTCTGAGATATCTGACATGAAGGAAGAGATCTGCTTCATAAGGTGGTCGATGCTGCTCTCAGCTCCCTGTCTTAAGGAGGGTAGTGATGGCCAAAGTGGTGATGCTGCTGGTTTGAGTCTGTGACCAGGTTCTCCAGATCCAGATTGCAGGTAGTCACTGCTGACCAGTGTTTCCCGGCAACCTTATTGACAGCGCAGACTGGAGCATAGCTGAGTGAAGCCTTGAGCGAGCTACAGAAAAGCTGGAGCACTGACAGAGCAGGAGCCAACACTTTTGCACTGCAATCTGGCAGGTTGACCATGGCTGAGGCAGCTTCATACAACACTATCTCGTGATTGTTATGGCAAACAGCTCTCGATGAAGTCAAACAATAGGCTGTCAGGGGTTCCAATCCTCCTCTTCCACTTGCTGGCTGTCCACTCAGATCATCAGGCAGTACCCAAAAGGGGACTTCAGCCTATGCCAGGTTAACTTGCTGATCATCTTACTATCAGCCAGTGGGTCATTCTTACATACATGGTACAAAAGTCCTAGTGCATGGTACTGAACCATGATGTTATCACTAGATGCTGCTTCTTGGGCCTCGTTCACCCAGCTCTTGACCACATCAAAGCTGCAATTAAGTAGGTGCAGGGAAGACACTAGGGCAGAGCTGGAGACACTGGGCACCTTGTCCACAATTGCTTGTTTCATGTAATACTCAGCAGCCTACAGCATCGTACTATCAGAGATCTGACAGAGGGCTCACATGGCTGGACCACGGTAGTTGTCTTCTTTCCCAGTCATAACTTTTGTCAGGCTGCTGGTGACAATGATGGCCCCATCTGCGATGCAAGACATCTCCTTGATGGTCAAGTAGCACATGAGCAGAGTGTGGGATCATTGAACTGAAAGAGCTTGGTCATAGCAAAGAAGGCCTCAGTCACTTTTGTGGTTCCCAGGTGTTCCCCCTGGTTTATGAGATAAAGAATCTTGGTGAGAATGTGTGCACATTTCCAAGGGTTGATGGGAGTTTCATTAAAGACCTGAACCTCTTGGAGAACTGCACTCTTCTCAAGGTTCTGGAGTGGGTTGAAGCCTCCATCTGACTCCTCATCTTTCTTATCGAATTTCTTCAACCTCGTGCCAGGGTCACTCCAGGCAGTAGGGAGATGCTCACAGCAGCAGCATCCAGTAGCTGCTTCTCTCACCAGCTTCTGGACCATGCTGTAGTTTTGATATCCATTTTGTTGATGGTTTCTGGAACTGAGTATTTATATATATATGTGTGTGTGTGTGTGTGTGTATATGTATATGTATGTATATATATATATATATTGCCATTTTTTTCTTTAGAAATTTTATTTTAGTTCTTCGACCATTTTAAACTTACATTGTTTGGTTTTATTATGTTCAGTTGTTTATTTACTTTATAATTCAAGATGTCAATCCTTCATCAAGTATACCATTTATAAACATTGTATCTTGTCCTATAAGTTTTCTATTAATTTGCTGAACTCTGAAACTGATAGATGAAAAGGTCTGGAGTATGCTATAAAATATAGGCATGTGAAGGACTCTGTAAACAGGACTGTAGTCACACAGGAAATAAACCAGCACTTTGGTAATGAGAAGCAAAAGATAGTCAACTGAGCAAAGCTACAGCTTACAGGAAGGGAGAAACTCCAATGGACTCTCATATGAACATGTGAAAATTGCCCTGTTCTGACTTTTTTTCTAGTTCCCTGTCTAGAACTTGTAATGCTAATTACTCTTATCTTTACTTCTCCTTCACATCTCCTATACATGATTCAAGGACTTTATTTTCCCCTTAGAGACAAGAGTTATGCAATTTGGGAGTCTTTTAGATAGACCCACTGAAGGGGTACTCCAATTGCCTCCCCCTGCGTCCCCATTCAGCATGGAA